GTCAGATTGGGAGCAGAGACGACATAATTATGGAGGGCGTTCCAAGACTGGCACACACGGAGAGAAAAGAAATTTCTACGGCATTCAAGCCGGCTATAATGAATTGTCAGTTTCAGAGGGTGACCTCTTAGTTTAGTGTTGTGGTTCATTTCCAGCAGCGGACGGCAAATGTGGTTTGGGTTCTTCAGAATCTGGTAAACCATTATGAGATTGTTGTAGTACTGTTTCCTTAACACGGAACCTGCTAGGCTACGACCGTCTGACTGTTCAGTCCCGCACCAGCCAACCAACGGGATACAGAAAAAGGGCCAAGACTCGGTAACAGGGAGTATATTCTACACGACAGACCGCTCGTATTTATTAGGTAACGAAACGTACTATTTTTAGGAAGCCTAGCTATGCGACTGGCTCTCAGCCAATGTCAGTGATTTTGGTTCCACGGTTTTTCCATATTTGGCCGAATGCACTGCCTCCTTTGGCGCTGACTTGTATTTGCTAGCCAAAACTCTCGCCTGAACTGGCTTGTATTCGTTGGCCAAAAACTCGTGCCTGCTTTCCGAACAGTTTGACTTTGTACCGTGCTCGTGCTTTCACATGTAGCAGACAGCTCATGTACTCCACAGGAAACCCACACACGTTTGCGATCTCGTATTCGGACATTGGCTGGGCCCGCCTCTCTAGCAGAGATCCCTCGCAAAAGCCGATATCGACTGCTGTACATTCTTAGAGATTTCAGTCTAAGCTGATAGGGCAGATGAAAGAGGCCCCTGACGTTTTTGGTTGCCCGTCGTTGAGGAGTCTCGAGAGCAACGAGATCCTGTTTCTGCCACGGCTGCCACGCCTGAATAGCATATTCCACGTGAGATCGCACGTAGGCGTTAAGCATTTGGGGAAAGATTGAGGGTTCAAACCGACCGAAGGCTCTGCGAAGAAGGCCGAAGTGTTGATTTCCGGTTCTCCTCGCCTTCTCTGCTTGTTTTGAACACCCGAGATCTTCCTGTACCAATACACCCAGGTCACGCTCCTGAGAAACCTTCGCCAAGGTGTGGTCTCCAATCTTGTAAGCGCTCACCGGCAGGTGACGCAGATGCATCACTTTGCACTTAGCTATGTTCAATTGAAGCTTGTTCCTCTTTGACCATTCGTAAATGCAATCTAAGTCATGTTGGAGCAGAACCTGATCTGGCTTGTTACCAATCGCTCGCCATATCTTGACATCATCGGCGAAAAGCAAGAAATTTGAGGAGATGACTCTTGACAGGTCGTTGATAAGCACCAGGAATAAACGCGGTCCCAGCACTGAGCCTTGTGGGACACCACATTCCACCTCAATTGGGTTAGAAAGTGATCCCATAACACGTACTTGAAGCTTTCGTTGGTAAAGGAAGTTGCCAATCCAACCAAGTACAGGATCTCCGATTCCGTAACTTTGTAGTCTTTGAAGTAGGATGCGGTGATCAAGGCGGTCGAAAGCTTTGGAGAAGTCCAGATAGATGACGTCGACTCCGACCCCATCATCGGCCACTTCCGTCCAACTACCTCGTGCAATAAATAGGTTGGTGGTGCATGACCGGTGTTAACGGAAGCCATGCTGTTCCGGTACCAAAATGTTGCATTTTTCCAGATAGTCCATTAAAGCCTCAGCGACGACTGCTTCCATCACCTTCGCGAGCACAGGGAGGAGAGTCACTGGACGATAGTTTGCAGGATCGGAACGGCTACCGCCTTTAAAAATAGGGGCTAAAATGCCATTCTTCCACATAGTGGGGACTTGTTGTTCATCAAAGCACCTATGAAAGAACTGTGACAGTGGTTCAGTTAGCTTGTTGGCCGCAGCCTTCAGTGCCTTCGGGCGGATGTTGTCTGCTCCTGGAGAACTATGCTCACGCAGTGAGAGTAACTTCCTTAGCACAATTGATGGGTTGAAAATAACATTTGTAAACAAAGGTGTCGGTAATGAGCTTGATATTATGAGACAGGTAGATGTTGCGAGTTCAAAAATTGGGGCGTATTGCAGCCGCAAGGCATTAGCTGCTTCTTCGGCGCTTTGTACTCTACCGCCTGTCGTGAATAGTGGGGTATTCCATGCTTCACTTAACGAAGATTATTGACTTGCCTATACAGCAGTTTGTTGTTTCCATGAAGCTTTTGGCTAGGCACTGGTGATAAGTTACTTTGTCCTCAAGGACAAGGGCAGTGCAATGGTTGTGGTGGGTCAGCAAATTTCCCCAAGTCTCTGAGTTGGGGTTAATCTTGTAGGCACGCCATGCTGCATCTTTATCGCCAGGCATTTGCTAGTCCTGCTGCTTAGAATTGAAGGCATTTGCGCGGACGAAGGGGTTTGGTCTCTGATGCTTTGTTGACGATGTCGCTGAGCTTATTAACGAACTCTGCTCAAACGTTGTCAAGGGGACTTTTGTTTGAGAATTCCCAAGCAGCTGTGTCGGCGAGTTCTTTCAATACGTGGTAGCGCGTGATTGTATAAGTTAGTTCCGAGTGTTCAGATGGATACGTTGCATAACACATATGTTCGGAAGTTATTACTACATGGTCACTGAGACCTAATGGACTATCCATCAATAACTTGTCAATCATGAGCTCTTCATTCGTGAGCACAAGGTCCAGTATGGACGGTTTGTTTGCTGTCTTGAATCTAGTGGGCGTGGTAACATGATTGTACAAAGGAATATTAGCGATCAGTTCCTGCAAGTCTGCTTTGAACTGCTCACTGAGCGATGCCGAAACCTCCAGATTGTGTAGATTGAAGTCCCCGGAGATGAGAATGTGGCTGTACCTAGTGCGTGTTACTCTGTTTAGGCCACGGATCAAGCAGGAATCCATTTCCAGAGTGGACGTTGGGGGGGCGGTAGACGATAGCCATGAGACATGTGTCGTTGTGTCTCAGTCGGAGACGGCACCAGAGTGAGTCGGTAACATGTGTTTCCAGGGCCTCAACTATTGTACGTTGTAGATCACTGCAGTAGTAGAGTAGGACCCCAGCTCCTCTGCTGCGGCGGTCGTTCCGGATGAAAGACTTTCCGGCCATCTCAACCTCAGCATCAGTCACCTCTTGATGTAACCAAGTTTCGGTAATAGAAATTAGGACCCAAGCATTCGCAACCTGACGTAGTCGAAGTTCGTTAATTTTACTGAGGAGCCCTTGGGCGTTAGTGTACATACATGAAAGTTTCTCAGATTTAATCAATGTTTCGGAGGTTCTGCAACTCATATGTGAAGTTTCGCCGACCAGTGAGTGGCCGGCGACTGGATGGATGGATGAAGCAAATGTGTTTACGCCGACCATTAAAGGGTCGGCGACTAATCGTTTTTTGGATGGGTTGCATACTCTCGAGAAGGATTTGATACAAAAGCAGGTATCAGATGCTCCGAATCCCAGTGTTTGCTCGTGCTCTGCTGTACCCCTCCGGATAGTATGGCTACTCTTGAAACCGTCCCCGAGTCGGGTCCTGCAGCTGGTGTTTCCACTAAGAGTTGTGCCTCTACTGAATTGTCATTAAAAGGTGTTGGTGTTCTTGCTGCTTTCAGACGAATTTCCGTTGGCAATCTGCAACGGAATTTAATCAAGTTCGCTAGTAGTGCTTGTGCCATCTGTTCTGACTGTAACACAAGTTTTAAGAGCCTGGGACCGCATCCTTTATAGTTTGGTAATATGGGGATTCTTGTCAACGAGGTGACCACTACATTTTCGAGAGAAAGAACCTCCCGGATGTAGTGCCATTGCTCGTGGTCATGCATCTGGGCATCGTCGGAAGAGGAGTCAGTAAGCTCAGGAACACCGTGAGCAATCACTGTTTTCTTATCTTGACTTATTCTGTACCTATCTGTTAGCGGGATCCCCTGAACGTTCTTTCTACGGGATTTCGGGTAGTATGCGCACTGCACTTGAGTCGTTGTGGAGACGATTCGCAGACAGCAGAGCGGCCTCAGTCTCGTCCGCCGAGTTTAGTGTTACCTGAAGTAACAGGGGTTCGCCGTAGGGCAACACATTTGGGTGGCGCGAGATTCTTTTTAATGTCGTGGGATTAGCATGGACTCCGATCGACGTACAGATGGAACCCCACTGATTTCGATCGTCCGTCAACTTACCCTTAATTGTATTGGATTTGGATTCGGGGACATTAGTGCATACAATGTTTAGGACACCATGCTTGCGCCTGGTGGCTACTGGTTTTGAATTTTGAGGCTTAGTATCTGGTGTTTTTGTTGAATTTGTGAACGGCATTGGTGTGTGTGCCATCCGTGCTGCGGCAGTTTTGTTTTCTCTAGTTCGGGCACAAAGGTTACCGGTGCTTTTTCCGGTGTTTGCTTGGCGGCAACCGATGCGTACGTTGCCGGGTTGTTCACTATGGCTGGTTGACTGTACCTTACAGTCTCGAGTATAGTGAACAGACTACTAGGTGCAGCACGCAGTACAGAAGTTAAGCCGGGCGCGCTGCAGGCACTGTTTTTACTCTTAGGAGGGAGAGAGAATGGAGTTGATATTGATGGAGGCTGAGTCGTTGGGATTGGGTTGGGATGCCTGGCTCGCTTCTTCGGCCTGACTAGGGAGTCCGGGGTATTATTTTCACCCGCAAGTGCAGGACAGCACTTGACAGTTGGAGAACGCAGTAATATTTTAGTTTAACTCCCGACTATACTTACACTTATTCTTACTCTCAAACCCTCCACCTTTTACTACCTTGAAAGATAGAATACTCCCAACGCTTCATTTGGACCAGTTAAAAACGCCAACGAGGTTTTCCACCATTTTAAAATGTTGTACAAATTTATCAGGCCAAGTAATCAGTCTGTGTCTCGCAAGGTCGAGAAATATACCATCTATCAATTTATGTATTTAGTTGGAGGGCACATGTAGGGTTGCGTCGGGGCTAAAGAGCCTGGTTGAGATCCAGAACATACTCCGGGTTGAGAGGAAAGTAGCACAGGTGAGTGTCCCAAATTGTCCCAAATTTAGTGCTTTCTGTTTTTATCCTTATCAGAAAACCAACATATCCCTTCCGGTAAATGTGAAGTTTGTGATCGAAGGTATGGAAGAAGTGGGATCAGAAGGTTTGCATGAACTTCTCAATGAGTTATCTTTGGGCTTCTTCAAAGTAAGTTCGCTGTTGCCCCCGGTGACAATTCTGGCTTTGTCCGGAGTCCCTGCGACTTGCTCACTAGAAATGCTCACGTTCTATAGCTTTTTCGATTTGGCCGTATCATCAGATAATCTGCAAGTATTCATGCACAAAATCTAATGCTATGTGTTTGCTAGCCGCAAGCATTTAGTCATTGTAAATGCGCGAGAGGCGCAGTAAGGCTTCGGCCTCGTAAACACGTTCACGCAGTCCAACCGATGGATTTATTTGCCACCACAAGTATCTCAGGCTTGGAACACAATTGTTGCTTCTACTGAACTCGAACTGACCTCAACTATCACTCACTCGTCTCTGATGGTATCACTACTTATTCAGAAGAGTTGATCGCCCGTTCCTTAAGAGTAGGGTGGGTTTAAATTGGGTGTATTGTGTTAATAAATTTAGCTAATGGGTCGACCTTTCAGTCGACTAACTCAATGATCATGGTTTCACGAAGCAAAGAGCAGATAGAACGTACACACCGTGACATCAAATTTTAGCCCTGGGCTTCAGCTTATCCACATGACTTTCTGAAATTTACTATCTGATGAGGTATGAAGATAAGTAAAGTGGGTCTTCGGTCGTATTATGAGGTAGTTGCAAAGAAAATGGTTTAAGGAATGGCTGACACTGAAACGCATAAAAAGCTAATGACTACTCGATTTTAATACACACGAATGATTCCTTCGATGTATGGACGAAGAACTACATTCACCGTGCACTTTCAGAATGTGGATTATGTGGCAATGTCGGACAATTACTGGCTCGGTCAAGATACTCCTTGCCTAACGTACGGATTACGGGGTGTCATCTATTTCTACGTTACGGTAGAGGGTCCGGAAAGAGTCCTTCATTCTGGATGTCACGGTGGTGCGGTCGTGGAACCACTGAACGACCTGATTAGCTTACTGGCTGCGTTGAACGACAATCAAGGAAGGCCACTTGTGCCAGGAATTTATGATGATGTGCAAGAAGTTGATCCGGAGGAGATCAAGTAAGTTGCACAACTACAATGGAACAATGGATTATTACGAATAAAAGTCAAAGACTGGCAGTTAGCGTCGGATGGTCCGGGCGGAGTCATAACCTCCGAATAAAGCTTATCTGCAAGATGGACCGCGAATCTGTGGACTCATGATGTTTGCTATAAGTGGAAGCTTAAATGCCCTACCTGATGGTCGACTGGGAGTAGCAAAAGAAAGGAAAACCCGTAATAAACAGTTAACAACCAGTAAAAGTGAGCCAGCTGCTCGAGATTTTGTCCGACTGAATCGCTCACATATGGTTCTGTGCAAGTTTCAAGGCTATCGCCTTTGGTTTTCTAAGCAAAATTGGTGTAGATTCATACCGTTTGATTTTTTCATGCTGGTATGGGTTACTTGTTTTATGACCTGGTATGATGTGGTCAATGCACTGTCGACACCATCTTAAAACACAGCTAATATATAGGTTGAAATGATAGCTTCGACGAGGGGATTCTGTGTGGCAAACACGCGGCTGCATTATTCGGCCAGTTTGAAACAATAACCTCTCAGTCCGCTGTTATAACTGAATTTGAACGAGTGATTAGAATTGTTTGAATTCTGAAAACCATGAATAGGTAATGACTTAAACGCCGATATATATATATATATGCAACAGTCTACGAATAGACATAGAGCCATCAGAAACCATGGGACTCAAAAGATGGTACAGAAATAGTAAAAGAAAAGACAACACAACACATTCAAGTCCACGGTTTCGTCAAAGGTTCAGCCATGCCCTCAACTGCCATGGTAAACGCTTACGGGTGATTGTCGTCAATTCCAGTAGGGTTATATGGGGGCATGGATAGGTTAGACGGGCTTGCGCTTCACAGTCGCCCACAGCTAGATAGTTTGACATTCGTGACTGTCTCGTCACGTGACTTTGTTGGACACACGCACGACAGTCGTTCAGAGCTAGACCACTCACCATTCATGACTACGTCCATTCTTGTGGTTGGCGTCCCGGTTGCTCAGCTTTGTCAGTTTTTGAATACAACTCGTCCGGCACGTTGGTATCATTGCTTTCCGTTCGGAGTGGGTTGTTACAGTCAGGCGTTATAGTAGACTGGCGACGGTGAACCATGACGGTCCCTTTGGAATTTCTTCAAGAAATGCCGTCCAGACAGCAAGCACAGTTTGAGACGTCACAGCAACGCTTAATTGCAACATTGACAACACGATTGTCGTGACAGTCAGCATCTACGGACTCAACGGTTTCCGCTGCAAACAAGCTGGCGCGCAGGATGGCAGAATTGCATTACCAGCCGGACGATGACCTCACTTTCGAAGCATGGTTTCGCCGCTATGATGACGTTAAAAATTGATGGGCATGAGCTAGCCGATGCCGCTCAGGTGCATCTTCTTTTGAGGAACTTGGGTCCACTAGAGTGTGAAAAGTGCTCTAATTACACTCTACCCAAGAACCCACGCAATATCTCTGGACAACACTTGACCAGAATTTTCGGCCCTAAAACTTCACTTTTCAATACGCGTTTCCGATGTTTACAAATAGTTAAACACCAGGAGGAGGATTTTGTGACTTATGCAGCTAGTATTAACAGGGAACGTGAACCTTTTTCAGCTTAGCACACTCACAAGTGATCAGTTGAAAACGCTCATTTTTGTTTGTGGATTACGTTCTCCAAAAGATGCGGAGATTCGAACACGTTTGTTATCTCGGTTGGAGTCCAATCCAGAAGTCTCACTACAGCAGCTGGTACAGGAATGTGAACGTATGTTGACACTGAAGCATGACACAGAAATGATCCAAATTCACAACGAGTCTTGTGTGGTGGATGTTCATACTATTCCTATACGCCCCAGGCCATCGCACAAATCAGAACGTCTCTCCAATTTCGCTCGCCCCGGCTGTCCGCCTAGTGCTTGTTGGCATTGTGGTCAGTGGCATTTTGTGAATGCAGACGATATATTTACAAGTGTTGTGAGAATATGAGACATAAGGAAACCAGATGTTTGCAGGGAGCCTCTGGAAGACCGTCACGAAGCTTCGTCAAAACTCCAAGTTTTCAACGTTGCGTTTCAAATGTGGTGTTTTTAACCACTAGCCCGAACTATCAGTCACTACGGAAGTATGTTACGATTGTGATAAACGATGTTTCTGTCCGGCTTCAAATGGACACGGCTTCCGAGATTACAATAATCTCTGAGTCGACATGGGGCAAGCTCGGTAAACCCACGTGTTCAAAGTTCACACGTCGTTCACGAGGCTTCCGGCTCAGAATGACCCTTTCTTGGACAGTTCAATTGTGAGTTTGCAGTTCGTGATTTGCATGCTAATGGTATTTGTTACGTTACATGTTATGAACATTTGAACTCTTTAGGCATAGATTGGATTGACAAACTTAATTTATGGTGCATACCTTTGAAAAGTATTTGTGATAACCCAGATAGTTGTTCACTGTGTCCCACCGATGTTTACTATTCGGTTACACCCGTAATGTTTAAAGACAGTGCAGAAGCTTTATCACATTTTGCCTCTATGTACCCCAATGTTTTTGCAGAGGGTATTGAAATGTGTTCTAAGATAAAAGCTGTGTTGGATCTGTGTACCGGTGTGCGTCCAGTATTTTGTCCCAAAAGACCAGTATCATACGCTGCTGTGGAGGCTGTGGATGCCGAAATTAGTCGACTGGAGTCCATGGGCGTCATCTGTTCTGTGAGCTACTCAGCGTGGGCCGCTCCTGTTGTAGTCATCAGAAAGGCTAATGGCAGTTTGCATATTTGTGGTGATTTTGCTACCGGATTAAATAACGCACTGGAAACGCATCAATATCCCTTACCTGTTCCCGAGGATTTATCCACAAAACTTAATGGAGGAAAAATATTTGCTAAAATTGATCATTCTGATGCATACTTGTAATTAGTGGTCGAGGAGCGCTCAAAATAACTGCTCACTATTGCGACTCATCGAGGCTTGCATCGTTACAATCCTTACCTTTACCTTTGGGAGTAAAATGTGCTGCAGCGATCTTTCAACAAGTGATGGACGCTATGCTATCCGGATTACAGTGTGCCAGGGCTTATTTGGATGACATAATAATTGTAAGCTCCACCACTGAAGATCATTACACCCACCTGAACGAAGTATTCTCCAGGATAGATTCATATGGATTTCGTGCTCGTCCAGAGGAATGCGAGCTCATGATGCCCAGTATCACATACCTTGGCTCGGTTATCGACAGTTCCGGTCGTCGGCCAGATCCAAACAAAATAAAAGCCATCAAGTTAATGCCACACCCTATGAACAAAGCTACTTGTTTGGGTCTAGTTAACTATTTTCACAACTTTGTCCCTCAGATGCACGAACTCCGGGCCCCACTAAATGCACTTTTGGCAAACGAGTCAGTGTGATATTGGTCCTCGCAGTTCCAGAAAGCCTTTGATGACATTGAACAAATATTGTCCTCCTATCTTCTTTTAACTAATTACGACCCAGGAGTACCAATAATTGTCACTGCTGATGCATCACAAAACGGTATCAGTGGCGTCTTGTTGCATCAGTTCCCGAATGGACATCAAAGGCTGTGATGCAAGTTTACCGCGCGCTGACGGCAGCAGAAAAGAACTACAGTCAAATAGAGAAAGAAGGACTAGCTCTCGTTTTTGCAGCTAAGAATTTTCATAAGATTGTACACTGACGCAAATTTACTTTTTACACAGATCATAAACCTTTGATATTTATTTTTGGCACCCAACCAGGAATCCCCGTTCACACGTCAAACAGATTACAAGGTTGGGCAACCACCCTATTAGCATATGATTTCAAATTGCGTTTTAAAAGTACCTCTTCGCTTGGTCATGCTGACGCATTATCCAGACTGATTGCCGATTGCACGTCCAAGACACCGGATGTAGACATTGTTGTGTCGAGCATTACCTTAGATTAGACAAGTATTTCAAACATCTGTACGTCAACTGCCAGTAACAGCAGACGCAGTTAGAATAGAAATAGCAAGATATCCCCCGTTACAAACTAATTATGGGGTACCTTAGCACTGGTTGGCCTGCACGTTGCTTGGACGGCTATGGTGAGCAGTTTCATAAAAGGAAGTTCGCCTTAACTACCATTGATGGTTGCTTGATTTTATCTGACCGAGGTGTGATACCTAAGATTCCACATAAGAAGGTTCTCAGTCAGTTCCACGTAGGTCACTCGGGAATCAGTCGTATAAAATCCATAGCTCGCAGCTATGCCTACTGGCCATCCATGGACCAGGATATTGGAAATGTGGTTCGTTCCTGTAACAGCTGCGCTATGGCAACAAAACTACCTGTCAAATGTGAGCTTCATGCTTGGCAGACTCCAACTAGATGATGGTTTCGCATTCATATTGATTTTGTCGGATCTTTGGAGGGTCTACCCTATCTGGTAATTGTCGATGCTTACCCAAAGTGGCCTGAAATTTTTCAAATGAGACACGCAAACACTTCCGCTGTTTTGTTACACCTACACCCTATTATCACAGAATTCGGTGTTCTCGAAATGATTGTTTCGGACAATCGTTCTCAATTCACTTCTCAAGAATTTGTCGACTTTTGCAACTCACATGGCATCGAACACATACGTACTCCGGCGTACCATGCATAGTCAAATGGGCAGGCTGAACGTTTGGTCTATATGTTTAAGCGAGCGTTAATTAAAATGGAAGGAAATCATCGACACATTTTCGCAGATTTACCGTACGACGCCAGATCCAGCGTACCTCAAAACATATCCCCATCCGAAGGGTTCCTCGGTAGGCATGTCAGAATGGTCTTTGATGCTTTGGATTCATCGCTACACAAGGGAGAGGGCAATATTAAAATGGAGTTGGCTTTTAATCGCCATCATGGAACATGTCCTCGGCATTTTGTACCTGGTGACATTGTGTACGTAAAGAATTTCCGTGACGGAAGACCATCCTGGATTCCTGGCAGTGTCCTTGAACAGATTTCAAGTGTTTTGTAC